GAAGTAGGACAGTATAAATCCTTCAATTTGGTTCTACTCAAGTTTTGAACTGGCTGTGTTGGGTCTTTTATCTCCCCATATAAATTTTGCAACCAATTTGTCAATATCTATGACATAACTTGCTTGGATTTTGATTGAGTTTTATCAATAGATGAATTTAGGAAGAATTGACTTCTTGACATTAATGAGTCTTCCTATCTATGAACATGGACTACCTCTCCATTTATTTAGTTCTTTGATTTTTCATCAGCTTTTCATTTTGTCATGTATATTATATAAATATATAAAATCTATATAACACATAAATATTTCATTTTGGGGAAATATTGATCTAAATAGCAGTATGCTTTTCATTTTAAATTCTACTTCTTTATTGCTGGTATCGATTGACTTTTGTATGTTAATTTGTATCCTGGAATATTGTTATAATCACTTATTAATTTCAGCAGTTTTTGGTTGTTAATTCTTATGGATTTTTCACAAATATGATCATATCATCTTCAAAGACAGTTTTATTTCTTCCTTGACAATCTTTTGTCTCTCTGTCTTGTCTTATTGCATTGACTAAGACATCTAGTATGATGTCTAAAAGAAGAAGTTGAAAGGGACAAACTTGCCTTTTTCCAAATATTAGTGGGAAGGCTTCTAGTTGGTCACCAATTACAGTGTTAGCTGAGGAAAGTTCTTCAGCTTGTATTTCGACTTTACTGGAGGTATGATCCTATGATTTTTCTCCTTGAGTGTGTTTATGTGACTTCTGGATGTTTGGAACAGCTTAGTATACTATGGAAAAATACTACTTTATCTAGATGTAAAATTATTTGCATATGATGTTGGGCTTGATTTACTAACATTTTGTTGAATAATTCTTTTCTTGTAATACTTTTGTCTAATTTTGGTACTAAGTGCATGCTGGCTTCGTAGACTGAGTAAGGATGTAATACTTCTGTTTCTACTCCTTGAAAAAGACAGTAAACCCAGGGATTTACAGTGCTACTGCTATCAAGCTATGTCCTTAATGATTTTCTGCCTAATAGATCTCTCCATTTTGAGTTTTTTGGGTTTTTCTTGAGACAGGGTCTGCATGTAGAGCCCATCTGATGTGGAGCTCAGTGTGCAGCTAAGGACAGCCTTGAACTCTCAAACCTCTTGTCTCTGCATCCCAAGTGCTGGTATTACAGAGGTGAACCACCACACTGAACCATACTGCCATTTTTGTTTTGTTTTGTTTTCCTGTGGTGCTGGACACCAGTGCAGGACCTTGGGCATGTCAGGCCAGCACTCTACCACTGAACTACATTTTCAGTACTAGGCCTGTCCATTTCTGATAGAGGGGCATTGGAGTGTCCATCCTCCATTTCTCTTTAAAGTTTTATCAGTTTTGTCTTATGTATATTAATGCTCTATTGTTTGTCAGTTTACATAAGGATTGTTGCATCTTCTTGGAGAAGTGACCCTGACATCATATGAGATGGTCCCTTAATTTCTAGTAATTTTCCTTGCTTGGTCTGAAATTAATAGAGCTAGTCTAGCTTTCCTTGATTTGTATTAGCATGGTATATTTTTCTCTATCCTCTTATTTTTACTCTATATATTTGTTAACTTATTATAAATAAGTTATTGTTCAATAATAAATTTTTCATTCCTTTTCAGTATATCTATGAAGCTTAAACCTAAAGTGAGCACTGCACAGATGGCTGTTTAGTAACATTGTAAAATTAGACACAAAATCTGTCTAAGCACTTTTCCCAGAATTTTAGAAAAAAAGAAGTTGATAAAAATTCATGTAGCAGAAGGGGGCAGTAAAACTCTAACAGTGCAGATATTCTTACTTAGTTTCCCTTTATACAGAGAGTTTCCCCACAAATTTAAAAGGTTAATAAAAGAAATTCCACTCAACAGATACATATGCATGTCAAAATATATATAAAAGCAATAAATATATACAAAATTGAGTTATAATTTTTACATAATCAAACCTTCTTGTTTACGATGTACAATGACCATTGTACGTTACATAAAAAACAGGTTTGGGGTATTTAGTTTGGTTTGGGGTATATTAGTATCTGCTTGTGATCAGCTTCTCAAAGTGTATTCATTTTATTTTATCATATCAGATTTGTCAAAATTATCTAATAAATTATATAATAATTTTTTTTCTTGAGTCCTTATTTGAACTTCTTTCTGAAACTACTCTCATCCTCAAAGTTTAAGTATCCTTGAACTCTTTTCTCAGTTTATAGGTACATGGAACTCTTTCCACTCTGTCTTGCTATTGAAGTTACAAATGAACATGTTTTTAATTGCTATGAGATGGAGTTCAATATGTTTAAACTCCAAGTAGCCTAAGTGTGGTTATTCTCTATGCCCTGTTTTTCCTCACCTTTGATTCATAATCTCTTTAAAAACAATAGAACATACTTCTTTATATAGTGGGCACCCAACTACTCTGATAAGGAGAGTAATGATGACAGTGCCTTTCAAATCAATTCAAGATACAATGTACAATGTTAGTACACTGTCAGAATTGAGGATAGGGATTGTTTTGAGTAGAGGCAACCTACATAGTTAAAGTGAAACTGAGCCAGGCACTGGTGGCTCACATCTGTAATCCTAACTCTTCAGGAGGCAGACATCAAGAGGATTGCAGTTGGAAGTCAGCCCCAGGGCAAATACTTTGCAAGACCCTATCTGGGGGAAAACAAAATCCCAAAAAAAGGGCTGGCAGAGTGACTCAAGTGGTAAGAGTGCCTGCCTTGCAAGTGTGAGACCCTGAGTTTAAACCCTAGTGCTGCTAAGGGGGAAAAAAACAAAGTGAAATGAAAATTGAAATTAATTTATGAAAAAAAGTGAAACCAAAATTTGGAATTATTAAGAAAATAACATTCCAGCTCTTAGTTGAAGTTTTGTGTAGAAATTGGTGTAAAAAAGGGGAGTGCCACAAATGGATGATTAAATATGACTAGAAGAGGACAAGTTTTCCTGGATGAGATGGAATTTTAGTCATTTGTGTCTCATGTGCAATCAGGTTAATATGAACATTAAGCAAAATGGTAAAAAAATTTTTTCCATATTACTCTTTTCTTTCCCCCTGTAAGACTTCCACAAATCAAAGTGTCTTGTGTAGTTTTCTTTGAGGGGAAAGGGTTGTTGTTGGTTTGTTTTTTTTTCTTTGAGCAAGGGTTTTAAAATATTGCCCAATCTGGTCTTGGACTCCTGGGCGCAAATGATCCTCTTGCTTCAGTCTCCCCATGGTATAGGCTTTTTGTTCCTTTGTTTGCTTGCTCGTTTTGAAAGGGGTCTCTTTGCATAGCCCTGCTGGCCTAAAGAGTCACTATGTACCCAGGCTGACCTCTTGATCCTCCAGCCTCAGCCTCTCAAGTGCTGGGACTGTAGGTATGCCACACCATGCTGACTCTCATATTGTAGATTTAATTTCAGATTTTATGCCATCTCTTTTTCCATCCAGGCCAAGACTACGTGGTTTAACTGATTTTTTTTTAATTATTATTCTCCACTTCTTTGCTTCTGCTTTAAAAAAATATTTCATAAACCCTTCTCTGACCACCACCAAAATAGATACTAAAATAAATAAATAAAAACTAGAAAGATCCAACTTTGGAAAGAGTGAGAGGGGCATCCTGTGCTCTGGGACTTCTGGGCCACTGGATGGGCATGAGGCATGCCTGTAATCCCAGCATTCAGAGCCTAAGGCAGCAGGATCAAGAGTTCTAGGACAACCTGGGCTCAAAATTAATTAATACATTTAAAAAGGCTAAAGGGAAGATGAAATTCAAAACTGTCCCAATCAATCCTCCATTGGATTAATTTCTCATCAAACTATGTTCCAAAATGAGGGGTTTTTTTTTAATTGACCCTAATAAGTCCAGACAATTGAAGAACATATTCAATGTTGTACTCTGATCCATTGTTACAACTCATCATCTTGAAAAAAGTGGGCAGAAAAGATCAAAAAACAGTAAACTTTAAAAGATGAATTTCTTTTTTTTGGTATATCCTGTAAAGGGCTGGTGAGCAAAATAGTGAAAAACATGAGGCAGAGAGAGGAGAAAAAAAAAAAGAAGAAGAAGAACTTTAAATCAAATGCCTTGTGCATTTTGCACTGCTGCCAACTTTGGGCGTCGGTGTCCCGGATCCATGAGGGGCAAGGAGGACTGTGGCTGCGGGGCCCCGCGCTCGCACCGGGGACACTGCGCGGGAGGAGCAGTGCAAAAGGCGCCCAAGATGCGGAGAACAGCTTTTCCTAGGTTAACAGCAACTCGGCGACACATGGCCTGTGTGGACACCGAGTCCAGCTGCTACGTTTCATTAGGCAACATACCAAATCAGAAAAAGGTGTATGTTTGTGTGTGTGAGAGCTCCGTATCCAGGAGCGTCAGAATCGTCACTAAGATCAAAATGAGCCATGTCATCCGTTCTGTCATGACAGTGACTCCCCGGCCCCCAAAACAGAGATGCGGACTCGGGGCGGCGCGAGGGGTGAACTGCGCTCCGGAAATTCGGGGCCGCTGAATGAGGATCAGGGATGGTGGATGAGGGATGAGGGGAGAAAGCCGTGTCCGGGCTCCCGCCCTCGGCTCTGTCACCAAAGAGGTCAGCCTAGGCACTGGCTCTCGGAAACTCTCCGGCTGTGACCCGGAGAAAGGAAAGAAATCCGGCGCAACCCCAGCGCAGGACGGAGACCTTTGGAAGAAGAGAGGGATGAAAGAGAGGAGGCGGGGACAAATCCAAATCGCGTGGCACCCACCTTGGGGCAGCAGACGGTCATTTGCTGGGCTTCCGATTTTCCCATTTGCGTGAGTAAAGAATCTGCCCCCACCCGGGCTTACGCAATCGTTTCAAGTGGAGAGGGGAAAAAAAGTTGTAGGGGGTGCGGGTAAGGAGAGGCGGGCAGAAGCCGTCATTGGTCACGTGGGCTCGACGTTCAGGCATAAAAGGCAGCTTCTCTCCGTTAGTGACCAGTTGTCAAACTCCTCGCAGTGACTTTCAGGAGCTCGTCTAACTCCAGCTCTCCAGCCAGAAGTCCGCAGCCCGTCCGCGACGCCTCTGCCCACCATGCGCCCTGCGTCCCGCGCCCCACGCCCAGCGATGCTCGCCCGCGCCCTGCTGCTCAGCGTGGTCTTGGCGCTCAGCGCTGCAGGTGAGTTCTAACCCCGCGCCCCGGGGGTCTCCTGCATTTCCTGGGTCCAGGCTGAGTTTCCACCCAGATCTCCTCCATCCTGGTGCCCCGATTTCCCTCCCAGGGAAGGGGCTGCAGAGCTGGAAGGGAGAATGAGGCCAAAAGAGCTGGGAGGATCGCGCCGTTTGCCACCAGCTCTTATGGCATCTCTAGGACCAGTTATTGCACCGGTCTGAGTGTCAATCATCTGCGAATAGAAATACTGATACTAACTTGCAGGTGTCATTATGATAAGCCTGGATATGATCAGTATATGTGACATGGGCGTGTGCGGTGGTGCAACTGTTACCCACTGGGAGTAAATGTTTCAAATGAGGTTTTAAATGCTTTCTTGTCCTGGGAAAGCCCAGATTCTTTTCTAAACTTTTTTTCTTTGAATTTCCCTTAAATTTTAACTAATGTACTAGATCCGTTCATTTTAACTGTGAAAGTGTGACTTATATGAACTTAAAAAACGCTAACTTGAACATCTAAGGTTAACTGTGGAAAAGGTTAGTAATGTAAATTATCAGGTTTTTACCCTTATTTAGAAAAGGATATTGGTATGTCTACATTATGAGCATTCTGTGAGGCGGGGTTTAAAAATTCTTTTTCCATGACTGCCTGTGTATTTCTTGAATTTATTACTGTAAAGTTGACCCACAGTTAGTAAAACAATTAAACATTTACAAACGCTAGGATGATCCTGAAGAATGACTTGTGTGCTCTTCCTCCTTTTATTGTAGCAAATCCTTGCTGTTCCAACCCATGTCAAAACCGAGGGGAATGTATGAGCATAGGATTTGACCAGTACGAGTGTGACTGTACCCGGACTGGATTCTATGGAGAGAACTGCTCCACACGTAAGGCTTCCCTGGGGTTCCCTCATTTGGAATGGGGCAACATACAGTTACTATCTTAGAGATTTGCATCCCATAATGAGCCCTGTTAATTTCTCCCTCTTGTTTCCTCTTTTTGCAGCTGAATTTCTTACAAGAATAAAATTGCTTCTAAAGCCCACTCCAAACACAGTACACTACATACTTACCCACTTCAAGGGAGTCTGGAACATCGTCAATAACATTCCCTTCCTGCGGAATTCAATTATGAAATATGTGTTGACGTGTAAGTACAAATCTCTAAGATCTTCAGCTTCCTCAAAGGAAAATAATGCATTCTAATTCTGTGCATTACTAAATCTAATTCAAAAGAATAGTTCCAGCTCTGTCTAAATGACTTTAAATATACTTTTTACTTGCCTTCTACCTCAAAGGCCCAGAATACTGACATTTAGTCCCATATAGTTTATACAGTTCTGTCCAGCAGTCAGAATTCTACTCACAACCCTACCCACCTCTAACCTCCACTGTTGGGCCAGATTTGTGAAGGAAGTGTAGCCTTCTTGTCTCTTGAACACCCATGGACCACAGAATTGTTTTGTTGTTGTTTTTTCTGGTGGAATTGGGAATTAAACTCAGGGCGTCACTAGGCAGTCACACTCTTACCACTTAAACCACTCCATCAGTCCCACAGAATTGTTTTAAACATGTAGCACCCATTTAAATAAACAGTTACTTTGAACTTGAGTCAGCAAGAAAATGACTTCCTATAAATCTAAAGTGCTGTGGCCAACTCTTTCTGTCATAGGCTTCTTAAGCAATGAGTGGACAGTACCTAAAAACCAAGGCTGCTGGAGCATAATGCCCTGTGTGAAGCCTGTATGTTTTATTAAAAGATTTACTTCAGTGGCAGTTGCACTTTATAGAGTGTAGTCTTTGTAAATCAGAGTATCATTGTTGGATTTAAACTCAATCCAGATTTTACAATAAACGTAAGCAATGAGTTGTTTTACATATGGAGCCTAATGAAACAATTTTTCCTTAAAATTTCAGCCAGATCACATTTGATTGACAGTCCGCCAACTTACAATGCACACTATGGCTACAAAAATTGGGAAGCCTTCTCTAACCTCTCCTACTATACCAGAGCCCTTCCTCCTGTAGCCGACGACTGCCCAACTCCCATGGGGGTGAAAGGTGAGTGCAAAGGGATGGTTGGAAATGTATTATTTGTAACAGGAGGTGCATTGCTACCCAGATAGTTTGGCCTTAAACTACCATTCATTTTTAACAATAGTATAGTTTTTTCTTTTTTGTGGCTATTCATAAAGAACTCTTAAAAGACTTAAACTATGCCATGAAAGTAAGTGCACATTTTGGTATAATGTCCTAAACTGAATTAGTGCTAGTTATATAGATTAAGTTAGTTAATAAATTGTTTCACAATTTATTATTATTATTAGAATTTTCATTTATATTATGATCCTCTTCTTAACTGTGTTTACTCTGTGAATGATGAATTTCCTCCTACATTTGCCTCCTGGCAGTCACTGACTCTGTCACTGAATCCATACATGGAATTTTACCTCATTTTCCTCCTTCAGGGAAGAAGGAGCTTCCTGATTCAAAAGAGGTTCTGGAAAAAGTTCTCCTAAGAAGAAAGTTCATCCCTGACCCACAAGGCACAAATATGATGTTTGCATTCTTTGCCCAACACTTTACCCATCAGTTTTTCAAGACAGATCAAAAACAAGGACCTGCCTTTACCAAAGGACTGGGCCATGGGGTAAGATGGAGTTCAATCAGAAGTATAGCAAATCATAATGAAATGCTAAATGTTCGCCATACCAAATAACTCACCCTCATTTTCTTAAAATGTCATTTCTATAAAAGCCTGAATGATGCTTTTTTCCATTTTGATTTGCTGGTTTAGTAAAAATATGCACTCACACAGACACTCCATATATAGATGAAGATGTTTTTATAATTTTGCATTTTTATTAAAAAATTTAAAAAGACAGCATTGCAAAATTGCTGTCTTCTAAAACATCACTATACTATGATTTTGCTGCTATAAAAAATAAAAGTGAGATTTTTATAGTATTATCTCTTGGATTTCAATAACATAGCTTCAATTGATAAGATTTTATTTTATATTAATAATAATTTTCTAATGCTTCTTTTTCGTGGTGCTAGGGATTTAACCCAGAGCCTTCCACATGCTAGGCAAATGCTCTCCAACTGAGCTGTCGCGAGGCATTTTTCTGACACATTTTTAGACATGACATCTGATTATAGTGAAACATGATATACTTTAGTTCCCTAAAGTACATGAAACTGACACCCATATAGGATACTAACATCTTTAAATACAAAAGAAATATATAAGTGTATAGCTCTGATGGATAAACAAATTAATTTGCCATTTTATGAAAAAAATTGTTTTCTTGAAATATTTTAAAGAAAGTTAAATCATCAGAATTTAATGATGAATTCTGTAAGATGCTTCATAAGATTGTTCAACAAGAAATTGAAATTTTTCCATAATTTTCTAGGTGGACTTAAGTCATGTTTATGGTGAAACCCTAGACAGACAGCACAAACTGCGTCTTTTCAAGGATGGAAAAATGAAATATCAGGTGTGTTCCCTGTGACTATCAAGAATTAGTTATGATTCATCCTCTATGCCTGTATTTTAAAGTCACCAGTGATGAATTTTTAAACTCTTTTATTAACATTTATTACTGTTATTTTTTTCAGATAATTGATGGAGAGGTGTATCCCCCCACAGTCAAGGACACTCAGGTAGAGATGATCTACCCGCCTCATATCCCTGAGCATCTGCGATTTGCCGTGGGGCATGAGGTCTTTGGTCTGGTGCCTGGTCTCATGATGTATGCCACAATCTGGTTGCGGGAACACAACAGAGTATGTGATGTGCTTAAACAGGAGCACCCTGAGTGGGATGATGAGCGGTTATTCCAGACTACCAGGCTCATACTGATAGGTGAGCAAGGAGAGAAGATAATTTGAATAAAACCCTATCCCCAGAGATATTGTGAATAAAGTGTCCTCTACACTATTAACTCAGTCCAGGACCATGAGTGCTAATATAATACCTTTTCTTTTGATATTAAATGGAAAAAGATATAGAAGTGAAAGAATAGCAAATCAACAAAATTGCTTGAACGTTTGTGATCAGAAAGTTAAGGCTTTTAATTCTTTGTGTTTGCAAATAGGAGAGACGATCAAGATTGTGATCGAAGACTACGTACAGCACTTGAGCGGCTATCACTTCAAACTGAAGTTTGATCCTGAGTTGCTGTTCAACCAACAATTCCAGTACCAAAACCGGATCGCTGCAGAGTTTAACACACTCTACCACTGGCATCCTCTGCTGCCTGACACCTTCCAGATAGATGAGCAGGAGTACAACTTTAAACAGTTTCTCTACAACAACTCCATCCTGATAGAACACGGACTTACCCAGTTTGTGGAGTCGTTCACCAGGCAAAATGCTGGCAGGGTAAGCATTATGACAAAAATCAAGATAAGACACTGGTTGGTAGTTAGAATTTCTGCCACAGAAATTATTTTTCCTGTGTTATTAAAAGAATGGCCAGTTATTTTGGTAGTAAATTATTTTCTTGCTATAAGAAGCCTAAAAGATTTTTGAACAATCTAGTTTTAGTTCATGATTGTTAAATAATAATATACCATATGTGTCTGTATCCTAAAAATAGATATTTTCAAAAACTTTTAAGACTTACAGATTATAGAAATAAATATTCAGACTTCAATATCAGCTTAATTTTTGTCATTTTAAAAGGCAAAACGATGATTCTGAACTAGTGTCTCATTGAATTTTTTTATTGTTTTTTTTTTAATTTTGTGGTACTGGGAATTGAACCCAAGGCCTCCTGCATGCTAGACAAACACTCAACCACCAAGCTACATCCCTAGCCCTGCCCCATTGAATGTTAAGCATGGCTTCTGCTCCCATGCATGTAAGCATCTTTCCAAGAAATGCAGTCTCTTTCTTCCCTACTTTCTGCCTAAAGAATGCTTAAGGCAGGAGTAAATGTGCCTAAAAATTCCTGTTTTACACTTTAATCCCTTCTCCCCAGGTGGCTGGTGGGAGGAATGTTCCACTTGCTGTACAAACAGTGGCAAAGGCGTCCATTGACCAGAGCAGAGAGATGAAATACCAGTCTCTGAACGAGTACCGCAAACGCTTCTCACTGAAGCCCTATGCATCGTTTGAAGAACTTACAGGTGAGAACACTTTCTGAATGTCTTAAAAGAATCCAGCATCATATGGAAACAACCCAGAAGGTGGAAGCAAATTCAGTGAAGGGATAAAATGATTTTTTTTTTTAAATTTTGTGAGGTTTTACATTCGTTGTATCTCTCTCTCTCTGTTTTCATCACCTCTGCAGGAGAGAAGGAAATGGCTGCAGAGCTGGAAGCCCTTTATGGTGACATTGATGCTATGGAGCTCTATCCTGCCCTTCTGGTAGAAAAGCCTCGTCCAGATGCTATATTTGGGGAGACCATGGTAGAAATGGGAGCACCGTTCTCCTTGAAAGGCCTTATGGGTAACCCCATCTGCTCTCCTCAATACTGGAAGCCGAGCACTTTTGGGGGAGAAGTAGGTTTTAAAATCATCAACACTGCCTCAATTCAGTCTCTCATCTGCAATAACGTGAAAGGCTGTCCTTTTACTTCGTTCAGTGTTCAGGATTCCCAACTCACCAAAACAGCCACCATCAATGCCAGCTCTTCCCACTCCAGACTGGAGGACATCAATCCCACAGTGCTACTAAAAGAACGTTCGACAGAATTGTAGAAGTCTATTGATCATATTTATTTATTTATATGAACAATCTCTTTTTAAGTTAATTATTTAATATTTATACTAACTGCCTTATGTTACTTAACATCTTCTATAACAGAAGGCAGTAGTCTTCTTGAGGAGAAAGGGTTATGGTTGTAAAGATTTCTGTGTGACTCATTCTGTTTTATAAACCAGTGAGAAATGAGTTTTGACATCTTACTTGAATTTCTATTTATACAATGTTTTAACAAGAACACAAGCAAAGCTGTTTGAACACTTGAATGTGTTACAAGTTGGTGAAATGCTGCAAATGTCTATACTGTCCCTATTTCCAATGTATCTTTCATGATGCATTAGAAGCAATTAAGTTTGCATTAAGAACTTTTGGGCATTTATCTGTCACCAAACTACCCAAAAAAAGGGTACAAGTGCATTTTTAAACAAATTTTTAAAGGAGACTAAAACAATCACTTCATGTTTTTGTTAAAGCAGGCTTGAAACCATAATTTGAAATTTCTAAATTCACTTTTGAAAGCTTATTTTATTTCTCAGACTAAAGTTATTAAACTTGTACCCACATAAAGAAGTTCTCACAGATTTTAAATACCTAAAATCAGGAAAAACTATACTACAACTGCTGCTTAAAATATTGTATGAGATTTTGCTTTTTCACTAGGGAGTGAAAATCTATTGGATGTGATTGTTATGACTTCCTTTTAAATCAAATGCCACTGTGCCAAGGTGGTAGAACCACTGTACTACTACCTTAAAATAAGGATTTTCTTTTCCTTAATAAAAGATTTCAGAATTTGTTTATATTTACAAACAAAATCTGTAGCAGCAAAACCAAAAATCTATTTCTACATTAGAAACAAAGAATAAGAAGAATTCCAAATTAAAGTTCAACTTTGGTTTTAAACTTTTGAAGGAGACTATCTTTCCCTTGGATACTGTGCGCCTAGCACTCAACAGATTTCACTGTGAGGTTAATGAATTGCAAAGCCGGACTTGAGTAACAGCTGTCTTCGCAGATTTTCAATGGTACAGTGTAATTTAGCAGTCCATATCCCAGTGCAAACAGTAGCAGTGTCCTCATAAAACTTCCTAACTGCTTCAGTGTATCTCACACCTGAGTCTTAGCTGAGGATCCATTCGCCAAGTCAATCTCACCATTTAAATGCAGCCTGGCCATCTGCGTGCATGCTGCTTCTTTGACTGTTTTTTTTTTTTACTCTCCCGAACACTGTATTTCTTCTGTTTTCATTTTCCCAACTTTAAGATCAGAACTCTGTCTTTGAACTTCATTAATATTTCTTACTTGAACTTTTGCACATTTTCAGGAAAACCTCAGCTCAGAACTACTGTTTAACTCCTCTTGGTAGGAATAAAAGAAAAAAAGGTACTGTTTTAATGAAAGACCCCAAATTTTATTTATAACTAATTCAATAGGTTAGTACCTTGGAAAGAACTGTGAAGGAGTTCCTTCAGACAGGAAGAAAGTTCTGTTCCTGTTCTAATGATTACCCTTTCTTATTTGAAAATAAAACCAATTAGTGAGTAGTTCTGAGCATCAATAATAAAAAACCAAAAAATAATAATGATAGTAGATTTCTACATCTCATTGTCAGTTAACATTTTATGGTACTGTATATGATTTAATTTATTGAGGATTGTTATTTATGTTTTATTGGATATTGTATAAACTGTTTAAGCCTATAATCATTGATTTTTTTTGTTACGTCAGAATCAATATATCTTTTTGTGATTACCTCTCTGAATTATTATGTAAAATATCAAAGGAAAAGATTGGATTAAGACTCACAAATAAAATTTAAGGAACCTTAAAGCTTAGATTGAGATTTTTAAGAATAGAATTTATGTTGTTGGTATTTACCTGTACCAGACCACAGAGAATATAGTCTTGTTAACCAAAATGTACATTTCGAAGGTCTCATGGATGCTTTACTAACTCATTGAAACAGAATTTATTGAGAAAAATATTCTGTGCAAAGCACCCAGGATTTCACATTTTCAAATCAACCATTGATTATGGACAACATCAATATTTGTGTAAGTAACTGAAAAACTGTTAAGAAGGGGAAGGAAAGGAAATTTTAGTGAAGAAAAATTACTCAGGAAAATTTTCCTTTTAAGAGTTCATGTTTAAAAGGTTTAAATAATAGTCAACATTCTTGTATAAAAAATTTAATGACACTGATTGTTTAAAAAAACAAAACAAAACAAAACAACTCGATCATTACTAACATCAACCTGCTGACTGAACCTGGAATTCGGGTTGTGTGTGAATGTTTCAGTGTCTCAAACAAATGGGTATTTAAGTTATGTAAAATATAAGTTTTGACACAAATGTTTGTTTATTTTTATACTATTTAAGAATTGAAATTTTTTTCTGAAAATAAAATTTGATTGTTTCTATATGTCTTTGTCATGTAGCATTCTTTTCTCTAAAGCATGAGCCCTAAACCATAACCTTATGTTCCCGATCCATTCTATACTAAGCTAAGGGCTGGGGAGGTGGCTCAGGAGTAGAGTGCTTACCAGGTGTGTGCAAGGTCCTGAAATTGACTTCCAGCATTACAAAAAACAATAAAAACCTTAATAAAATGGTTCTGCCCTCAGATACATAGAGACTTCCCAAAGTCACTATTATCTCTTATTCACTGAAAACCTGTTGAAAATACATGCTACTGGACATAGGAACAGGCTTGTTTTCATTGCCCAGTCTAGAAGAAGAAAAGAAAAATATCATGAAAGGCAAAGAATAAAACAAATGTTGCTAAGGAGGTATAAAATAAAAAATGAAGTTCAAAAATGAAGAGATTAAACTGAGTTGTGCAAATCGTTGATACCTTGCCCATTGACTTCCTGACACTACTTTTGACATCTCCTTGGTAATTTCAATATCTCTGTGAACCATGGATATTGATATTGAACGTGGTACCTGGCCTCTCTCTGCCTTCTCCATTCCAGTGATGCCATCTTCCACCCTGTTCTCCACAATCGGACATGCCTTGATCTCATCATCATTAATTACTCATATCACCTCCAAAATTTTGATTTGAAGTATGAAATCAATTCTTTCAGCTTATCTATTTTAGCACTCGCAACCTAACACAAATGTCTATCTCTTCATTGAACTTTTTTTAATGGCTTCATGGTTTGATACTCTCCTGGTCTTTGTCCATCATGATAGAGCACCCTACTCTACATTTTTTTAAGAGCTTTTCCTCTTCCAATACAAGTTGATGTTTCTCAATCCTTTTGTTGCTTACACTCTTCCAAATTAATCATATCCAACGATCCTAATTTGAAACAATAATCACTCCCAAACTTAAGTCTTTAGAACCAACATCTAATTGTCAATTGACAACTACTCCACTCAAATTCACAAATTTAATTGCTCATCTTATATCTCTGCTCTCTTGTTCCGTATACCCCAAAGTAAAAGACACCACCATCTCCTAGTTTCTGGGCAAAACCTCTTTCTTCACTTCCACAGCCTATCTAGCAGCAATCCTGATAAGTTCATTCCACAAACAAATCCCTACATCTGTCACTTTTCTCCAACTCCCACTATAAACCCAGCCAGTGCCTAAATTAATTTGTTCTCCCTTTTCTCTTCTTTCCTCAGCCCAGACTATTCTTACAGTAGTGAGAGTAGATGTTTATGAACACCAATTGTATCATGGCTCCCCAGGGGAACTACATTAATCCCTTCATGATGATGGAGCCACCATGATTCAAAGCCCTTTCAAAGAGCCCACCACCTCTCAACATTTATATAGGCAACGAAGTTTCAATGTGAGTTTTGGGAAGAGCAAACCATTTCCAAACCATAGGACTGCCCTTGTTTCTGATATCATCATATTGGTTTTTTTGATTTGCTCACTAGCAATAATGCTTAAGGGGTTGCCCTTACTCAGAATGTCTTTTCTTCATATTTTCATATGGCTGTATGCTCAGCACTCAAGTCTCAGCTCAAATTTCCTCTTTCCAGAAAGGCCTCCTCCAACCACCCAAAGTAAAGCAACAACAAAGGCTGCTTCATATTCTTCATACCACTTGTTTCCATCTGACACGATCTTGTTACGTCCCTTCTCTGGAATTTTATGTCTGTGAGAGCAAAGGCCTTGTAGAGGCTATTCACTGCTTTCAGAACAGTGTCTGACATTTGAAAGTTCCTAAAAAATATATGATTGATAGGGCTGGGGGCAAGGTGCACAAGTGGTGGTAGAACTCACAAAGTCCTGAGTTCAAACCCCACTGCTGGCTAAAACAATAGAAATTTACTATCTCAAGTCCTGAAGGTCAGAAATAAGAAATAGGTTCTATGAGCTAAACCAAGGGGTCTACAAGGCTGTGTTTCTTCTAAAAGCTCTAGGGAAATCTGTTCCTTGCCTTTTCCAGATTTTCAAGACTCTACTCCTTGTATCGTGGTCTTTTTCTCCTCTTCAAAGCCAAAAGGGTAACACCTTCCAGTGTCTCTGACTCTGATTTCCTTGGGTTCCTGAAGACGACCCAGAAAAACCTCTACTTCTCAGTTCCCTTAATTTCCTCACATTTATGAACTCCACCTTGCCATGTAAGTAACATGTTTACATGTTGTAGAGATTAAGGCATGTTATTATTGAGGGGGAGACTTTTTATCATTGAGGGGGAGATTTTGCTAAACACACAATTCAACACAATCATGTTTTCATTCCTGGGAAATTATATTAGAATTGCACTCTTGGGCATTCATCTTTGAAAATTAAACACCTATATTCATGCAAGAACCTGTACGTGAAGGTTCAAAGAAGCTTTATTCATGTAAACCCAAATCTGGAAGCAAAACAAATGTCCTTCAACAGGTGATACATCCAACATCTTGGATGACACTAAGGGGAACTATGCAAAAATGTTAAATTAAAAAAAATACTTAAACTTTAAAAAAGCCAGTTTTTTTAAGTCACAAACTTATATAACATTCTTTTCTCTTCTCTCTTTCTTCTTCTTCTTCTTTTTTTTCTTCTTCTTCTTCTCTTCTTTTTTTGGTGGTACTGGGGTTTGAACTCAAGGCCTCATGCTTCTAGGCAGGTGCTCTACCACTTTAGCCAATCCACCAGCCCTTGGATAATATTCATGAAATAAAACTATAGGGATCAGGGATATCAAAGGATAGTGTTGTCAGATTAGGGATAGGGAATTAGTAGCTACAACAGTTAGTCACTACAAAGGAATAGCACAAGGAGCAAGTGTTACTCTGAATGAACAATTCTGTATCTTGACTGATGTGGTAGTTACACAAAGCTACATGTGTGACATAATTGCATAGACCTATACACACACAACTACGTGTATCAATGGTAAAATCTGAGTAAACTTTGTGAATTGTGTAAAGTCAGCTTCCTGGTTTTGATAGCATATGATAATTATGCAAGATGTCAACACTGGGGAAGTGCTGTGAAATCTATGTGGTTCTTCCCAACATACACCCTTCTTTTCAGCTTTTTTTTTTTTTTTTTGGTGGCACTGGGTTTTGAACTTAGGACCTCGCATTTTCTAGACAGGTGCTCTTACCACTTAAGTCACTCCACAAGTCCTTTTGTGTGTGTGTGTGTGATGGGATTTTTCCAAGGAAAGGTCTCATGAACTGTTTGCCAGGGGCTGGCTTCAAACTGAGATCCTCCTGATGTCTGCCTCCTGAGTAACTAGGTTTACAGGCATGAGCCACAGGTGCCTGGCTTCTTTTCAACTTCTTGTGTTTATAATTACTGTTTTAAAAATTTTAAGTTTTTAAAGAGAAAAGGTTCAAGTTCATTCTTGAGAAAGGAATAGGTTTGTAAGTCATTTTTGTACCATGTGTTTTCTTTAACCCTCATCCAAACTGCCACAGTACATTGTGGTAGAGTGGATACCCAGCCCAAGGTGGGAAAATAGAATTCTTTTTGCTAATTTGGAATTAGGACAGAGATTCTAGTTTGTTCAGACAATTTACAGGTGACACTAGTGTTGATGAAATCTGACAATTTTCTGATAGATGATATCAGAACAACTGAACTTCAATCTGAAAAGGAAGAAGCTCACACACCATAAACAAATTTTTCAAGATAGTCCATAAATGACCATGAAATAAAGCTAAAACTATAAAGCTTCCAGAGGAAAATCAGACATCTTCATGAATTTGGAGAGTAGGCAAAGAATTTTAGATGAGACACAGAAAGTACTGACAATTAAAGAAAAATATCTAATGAAGTAGATGTATTAGAGGTTTGTTTCCCACAGTGGTAGTGTTGGAAGATGGTGTGGACCTTGGGAGGTGGGACCTAGTGGGAGATCCTTAGGTCATTGATGATGGAAAGGTTTAAGGTAGTTCTCAGGAATCCTTTGGTAGTTCTCAGGAGAGGGTTGTTATAAAAGCTTGAGCCTGTCTACCCAGTCTCTCTCTGACTTTCTGTTTTGAGATGTGCTCCTTCCTCCAGCATGTCATGGGGCTCCACCATAGCCTTCACCATGCTGCATGAACTTTCAGCTTCCAAAACTGTGAGCTAAACAGACCTGTTTTCTTTACAATGTTAACTTGCCTCAGCTATTTCATTGTAGTAATGGAAAGTAGATTAATACAATAGACTTCATAAAATTAACAAAATTGTTCAATAAAGGACTAATTAGGAATATGAGCAGACAAGAGGCAGGCACATAAAACAACAGTCACACTATACATACCTAACAAAGGACTTGAATATAGAATATATAATTAACTCTTCAACTCAATAGCAAAAAAACAAGCAAAAACTTAACTAGGAGTTTTACAAAGAAAAATATATGAATGCCCAATGAATACATCAGATGTATTCAGAGTCATTAGTTGTCAGGGAAATAGGAATTAAAGCCTTAGTGAAATGTGTAGTGTGTACTACTACACATCCACTAGAATCACTGAAAGGTAAAAAGACCAGTGTGATGGTTAATTTTATGTAGCAACTTGATTATGTTGTGGTGTCTATTCTTTTGGTCAAACACTCTCATAGAAAGGGACTAGTGTAGATATTCCTTTTTTTTTTCTTTCTTTCTTTTTTTCATAGTGCTGGGGTTTGAACTCAGGGCTTCATGGCTGCTAGACAGGCACTCCTACCACTTGAGCCACTCTGCCAGCTCATAGATATTCTTAAGAAGCTATTTCTTTAAGGTTAGCTGAGTGGCTCAAGTGGTGGTATGCCTGCCTAGAAAGCATTAGGCCTTGAGTTCAAACCTCACTACTGCCAAAAAAAAAAAAAAGCTGCTTTTTAAATGTGATTAACATTTAATTCAGTAAACTTTGAGTAAAGCAGATTTCTCTCCATAATATCATGAGACTCATCCAACCAGCAAAGGCTTTAAGAGCAAATACTAAGAAGTCCTTAAGGAAAAGGAATTCTTACAATTGAATTAGAATTAAAAACCATTTCCACCCTGCTGCTTGGGTTCAATTTTTTATTCACCAAGTCAGTGCAGTGACTTCTAAGGTCCTTCCATGAGACATTTGAAACCAATAGTCCAATAATTATG